CAACAACAACAAAAAACAAAATAAATAAATAATTTTTTTGTTTGTTTTTTGTTTTTGTTTTTCGAGACAGGGTTTCTCTGTGGCTTTGGAGCCTGTCCTGGCACTAGCTCTGTAGACCAGGCTGGTCTCGAACTCACAGAGATCCGCCTGCCTCTGCCTTCCGAGTGCTGGGATTAAAGGCGTGCGCCACCATCGCCTGGCTAAAATAAATATTTTTTAAAAATTCACTGGAGTCACTGTAATCCCTGTGAAAACACCAATAACAGTTTTTGAAAAAAGATATAAAAATTTCAGACTAATAGCTGGGCAATGGTGGCTCACGCCTTTAATCCCAGCACTGAGAGGCAGAGGTAGGCAGATCTCTATGAGTTCAAGGCCAGCCTGGTCTACAAGAGCTAGTTCCAGGACAGGCTCCATAGCTGCAGAGAAACACTGTCTCAAAAAAAAATTTTTTTGGCAGAAATCTTTAATTAATTAAAATTAAAAAAAATTTTCAAGTGAAATTCAAAGGTAATCTCTAAAGAACTCGAATAGCCCAAGAGGCCTTGACAAAGAGCAAATGTGAAAGACTCACTCTGGTCTAAACTTTGACTTCTATGAGCAGTGGCAGCCCATACCTTTGTTTTCTCTTTTTCTTTTTTTAAAGATTTGTTTGTTTATTATGTGTACAACATTCTGCCTCGATATATGCCCACACGCCAGAAGAGGGCGCCAGATCTCAGTACAGATGGTTGTGAGCCACCATGTGGTTGCTGGGAATTGAACTCAGGACCTCTGGAAGAGCAGCTAGTGCTCTTAACCTCTGAGCCATCTCTCCAGCCCCAGCCCATACCTTTGATCCCAGCTCTTGGGAAGCAGAGGCAAGTGGATTGCTGTGAGTTGGAGCCCAGCCTAGTCTATAGAGCAAGTTCCAGGAAAGTAAGGACTACACAGAGAAACCCTGTCTCAGAAAGAAAGAAAGGAAGAAGAAAAAAAGAAAAGAACAAGAACAAGAAAGGAATTCGCCTACTGACTCAAAGCAGGGTGGTACGGACATGGGAGCAGGCACAGAGATCAATGGGACATAATAAGGATCCACAGGCATGTCTGAGTGATTTGTTCTGGTAAGAGTGCCAAAGCCATTTTATGAAGGAAAGCTATAATTTTTTTAGTAAATGGTCCTGAGGAAGCTGGATAAAATTAAAATCTGGACACTTCCACAGCATCATTTATAAAGATCAACTCAAAGCCAGGTGATGGCTTTGAACACCTTTAGTCCTAACACTCAGGAGGCAGAGGCAGGCAGACCTCTGAGTTCAAGGTCAACCTGGTCTACGGAGTGAGTTCTAGGATAGCCAAGGTTACACAAAGAAACTCTGTCTCAAAACAAAACAAAACAAAACAAAAATCTCAAATGAATCAGTGAGTTCTAGGATAGCCAAGGTTACACAAAGAAACTCTGTCTCAAAACAAAACAAAACAAAAATCTCAAATGAATCAAAGGCTTATGTATAAGATCTAAAGCTATAAGAACCTTTAGGAAAAACAGGAGGAATTTCATACTTTGGATTTAGCAGTTTCTTGGATATGACATCGAAGTCAAGCAACAAAAGGAAAACACTGTGGCTATTTTAAAATGTTTCATGTACCAAGACACACTACCACTAGAATAAAAAGGCAGCCCTCAGAAAGAGAAAAAACGTTTTGATAATTAGGTCTCTGACAAGAGGCAGATCTCCTGAACACACAGGGAACTCTTAAGCCTCAGCAACATCAACAACAAAAAGCCAATTCAAAAATGAGCAAAGGACTTAAACACATGTTTTTCTTACAGAAGATATACAGGCGATCAATATGTACATGAAAAGATGTGTAACTTTTCTAATTGTTGAAGATGTACATTGAAAGCACTATAAAGCATCAGCACTGCCAGGCGTCTCAAGAGACCAAAACAACGGGACAGGGTGTTCCAGACCAGCCTGGGCTACAAAATGACTGTCTCAACAAAACAAAAGAATCCACCACTACAAACAGATAGATACTAAAAAAACCCAAGAAGGAGAGGAGGAGGAGGAGGAGGAGGAGGAGGAGGAGGAGGAGGAGGAGGAGGAGGAGGAGGAGGAGGAGGAGAAAGAAGGTAAGTTCCTGGACAGCCAGAGCTGTTACACAGAGAAACCCTGACTCAAAACAAACAAGCATGCTGACAGGATAGGCCTTTATAGCTTACTGATAAAGAACTTTCCCAACAAGTGAGAGATCCCAGAGTTGATCCTCAGCACCAAAAATTAAAAACACAGAAAAATAACAAGTGTTGGGAGCTGGTGAGTTGACTCAGCAGGTAAGAGCACTTGTTGCTCTTGCAGAGTACCCGAGATCAATTCCCACCCAACACCCTCAGGGCGGCTCACAACCATCTGTAACTTCAGTCCCAGGGATGCTGACACCCTCTTCCTGACCTCTGCAAGCACAGGCACCCAATTGGCACACAAACATACATGCCAACAAAACACTCATACACATAAAAGTAATAAATCCTCCCCCCCAAAAAAATCGTCAGTAAGGAATTCACATAGAAGGAAATGGTCGTCCCTGTGTGGATAGCCACGTGGAGAGCCCTCTGGTGCAGGGTGTCTACTGTGGCCTGAGCCAGCACTCAACCCTTGCACTTTACAGCCATGGATGTGGCTTCCACATGGTGCCAAGCCTTGTCTCATGTGTCCCCCCCCCCCCCACCCGACCCTCTGGGCACTGCTGCTTCTCCCAGGTCTCAGGACCAAGGGATGAGAAGACGCCACTCACCTTGGGCAGAGCCAGCTCCTGGTCCAGTCCCACGCTGATGTGACACATGAAGTAGAGATTCGCTCCAAACAGGGCCAGAAACAGAAGCATCTGAGGGAGAAACTGGCACGTGAGAACCCTTCCCCAAACAGCCCCATCTTCCCCCAGACTTGAATGGCATTATTGGGCATTCTGAGAAACATCCTGGAGCTGGAAAGACTTGAGCTCTCGCTCCAAGTATCTGCCCTGGACCTGGGCAGCCACCCCATCACCACCACTATGTTCTGTTTGCCTTTCTCCTAAAGTGGTACAGCTGCCTCAGCCCACATACCACAACAGGGCGGGTGAACCTGTGCAGCAGGAAGGGAGCATATATCTTTCGGAAGAAGCGGAGTAGGAGTCCCTCGTTTTGCTCAGGTGGAGGTAGTTTCCGGGGTGAAAGGCAACATAAGACGTCTGGGCGAGAGGCCTAGAGGATGGCAGTCTCTCAGACCATGTCCAAGGCAGACCCCAGGAACCACCCCACCCAGGGAAGCTCTGGAGATGGCCACTGCAGTTTATGTTGCTTTTATTTCCTGCCTCAATCAAATACTGAATTTTACAACATTAAAAAACCACCAGCTTGACTACTGTTATCTTTATAATTTATTATGTAAACTTACATAATTTTAGGAGGTTTTGAGACTTCCAAAAATAAGTAAAAATAAATTCTCTTTCTATGGGTAATTGCAGAACACGCATCCCAAACATCCTCTCTCAGAACAATGCCTCTGCCTCCCATCCAGCTCTCTTGGCTACCATCTTTCAGTGAACATAGCAACCCAGGCAGAGTAAGTTCCTTGGTCCTGGCCTCGCTGGCTTTACCTCCTGCCTCTTGCTATCCAGGGAGAGCAGGGCCACAAAGGCAGTCATCTGGAGCAGGAAGTCGAGGAGAATCGCCAGGCCAGCAGTCAAGGCAAAGGTCCGCACAGCCGGCATGGGGGTCAAGGCCCCTGTTGGGGACACAGGATCTGTCAGATCATCCTGGTCTCATGGACCGGATGTCGGCACAGAGAGTTTAAAGCAGGAAATGCCCACTGCCTTCTGAGAACCTCGCCCCCACGGAGAATAACCTACCAGGCTAGCTCCTGGGTGGAGGACAGCCCTCGCTCACCTAGGAAGAAGCAGATGGCCTCGGAGAGGCTGCACAGCAGCATGCTGGGGGCCACACTGCCCAGGGCACGGCCAATGTGGGCCTCTCGCTGTTCCCCAGGCATCCTAGGCAGCCTCTGTGTGGGCAAAGAGACAGAGTGTACAGGGTCTGCCAAGGTCACCAGACTCTAAAGGCCCAGCAGCAGCATGACAAAGGGCTTTAAGTCCTGGCCAAACCTGAGGAACTGCCAGACCTTCTAGAGAGGGAGCAGCCTACTAACAACTCACAGCCACACCTTCCTCTTCTGCATTGTGGCCTCAAGAACCACTTAGTGATCCTAGATATGAAAAGGACCAAGCATTCTTGTCACTAAGTCCTCACAGCAAAAAGAGGCTAAAGGACTCTGGTTTGTGCTTACTGTGGGTGCCACACAAAGTAGTGCAAAGGCAGGAAAGAGGTAGCTCTAATGCATGGATATAGAAAACTCACTGGACACCCTGTGCTTAACTGAAAGTAAATTCAAGATGACACTACCTGCTGTGGGATAGTGCTCTTGTACGCGTATTGGTTTAATAAAGTGCTGATTGGCCAGTAGCCAGGCAGGAAGTATAGGCAGAGCAACCAGAATAAGAGAATTCTGAGAAGAGGAAAGGCAGAGACACAGTCACCAGTCAAACACAGAGGAAGCAAGATGAGAATGCCTCACCGAGAAAAGTTACCAAGCCACATGGCTAAACATAGACAAGAATTATGGGTTAACTTAAGTTGTAAGAGCTATTTAATAACAAGCCTGAGCTAATAGGTCAAACAGTTTATAATTAATATAAGCCTCTGTTTGGGGACTGAATGGCTGCGGGACCAGGCAGGATGAAAACTTCCATCAGCAAGTAGTGTGAATAAATTTGTGTCAACCCACGCCATTTCCTACACGTATAAGCCTGAATAGAAGGGTCTGCAAGGATGTCAGCACCTCTATGCGGGGGCTTTGTCTAACGAGGGTGTTGTATTGCCAGAGGGTATAGAGAGCCCCTCCTTTCTTACCTGGTACTCAAGAACAAAGATGAAGATGTTGTCAGCTCCCACGGCCAGTACCAGGAAAGGTACCACTTGGATGATAACCAGAGAAGAGGGGACACGCAGGTAGGAGTAGAAGCCCATGGCAGCTATGACTGCTCCCAGCACAACAGCCACCCCGCCTAGGCCCAGAGTAGCCTTGGAATCCACCTGCAATGCAGCTAGGTTCAGCCTGTCGGCTACCAGAGCACCTGCCCACATCCTCCTTACTCCCCAGGTTGGGTGAGAAACAGGCAGGTCCCCTTGGTGTTCACACGCTCTCAGTGCCACCCACTTCAATGAAGAACCCATATGTGTATTTAAGTCTCTAGGCTTTACCATTCTTCCAGGGGCAGGCCCGTGGCACCCAAAAATGCAGGTGTGCCTGGCTACATCTTCCAGAATTGCATGGCATGGCCTTTTACATGGTAACTTTGTGTGTGGACAGTGGGTATATGCTAGATTACAGGAAGAAAACTTTGGGCCTTTCAACACAGACCATATCCAAGAAATACCACCCTTTGAGGGGTTCCCTTTGAATGGGTCTAACTTGCTAGGTTAAGGAGCACTTTAGAAGGCTCTCTAGAGCTGTCCTAGGCTCAGGGTCCCTCTTGCTGGATCCCTCCGGCTCTCACCGCTATTCGTTTCCATCTGGAGTAGCTGCCCAGGGCCAGGGAGATGTACAGGAAGACGATAATGTAACTGATGGCGAAGACAGGCAGGTCCTGGATGGTGGTGCGGTTGATTTCATCCTCCAGGGAGCGCTGCGAGCACACAACCAGGTCACTAACCACGTACTGGGTTTGTCTGTGGAGCACACACTGTATGCTCTGGGGAGCTACAGGAGCCTCTAATGCAGGCGCCATATTGGGGTGGGCACAGGCTTTCACGGCCTGGGGCCATTCAGGAGGGGGTAGAACAAGGATGTGGATTGGACTGGAACTGACCCCAAAGCATTAGGGAACTGCAAGCACAGAACAAGGAACTCTGCAGGGTCCCTACCTCTGCTGAGAATGCAACCTGGAACTTGTCAGCCGTGCTGCTCTGGAAGGCTTGCATTTCCTTCAGAAAAGCCTCTTCCCAGAGCCTGGCCTGGGCCATGCGGGGATCATCAGCAGGGAAGTTATTGAGAGAGAAGGTTATGATCAGCGCCTCTGCCTCCGAGTAGTCCGTCCCTGGAAAGAGCAACACTGAGCCTCCCTTCTAACACCCCCTCAGGCTGCACCCTTCTCCCACTCCTGTTCCTCTCCTGCTTCCCCACTCCCATCCTCCAGTTCCCCCTCCCAGCCAAAGGCACAAAACCAGAGCTCCCTCACAGCGTTAAGAATGGCAGAGGGAGGCCAGGCGGTGGTGGCGCACGCCTTTAATCCCAGCACTCGGGAGGCAGAGGCAGGTGGATCTCTGTGAGTTCGAGACCAGCCTGGTCTACAGAGCTAGTTCCAGGACAGGCTCCAAAACCACAGAGAAACCCTGTCTCGAAAAACCAAAAAAAAAAAAAAAAAAAAAAGAATGGCAGAGGGGAGGTAGAAGCATCCTTTGCAGCCTCCTTAAGCCAGGCACCCAGGCACTGGAAACACCTATCCCTATGGCCTCTCCCTTAGCCTCCCGGGGCCTACATCACTTACCTTGATACCCCCCAACAGCAAGGAAGGGGAAGACAGGAGCCCCGTAGTCAGCTATGCAGCTCAGGGCCAGAGACGTGCCGTCCTTGAATGTGAGAGGGGCACTGGAGGGAAACCACAAAGAGAAAGATACTTTCCTGCCCCTGCCTGGTTCCTTTGGTCCCACCTTACCTCAGGCCCTCAGCTCCCTGAGGGAGGAGCAATGAGTTCTAACTACCTGGCCCAGAGGTCTCAAAATGACCATCTCTCCACAAGGTGCTCTCATGTGGTTCCCCCAGTCCACAGAATGGGGTAGGGGCTGCCTTGGGCGTCTCCCTTGGACAGGTACTGTATGATCGGCTCTCTGTGCATCTCAGGTCCCCTCGCATAGCCAAACATCCAGACCTGTGGTTACTCCAGTTCCAAATGAGCATCACAGTGAAGCAGTGAGCCCAAACTTGAGCCATGACCTTCTCCAGCACAGGTCTCAATGCTGCCCTTCTCCTCCCTCCCAGAGCCTGACCCCTCCAAGTGTTGAGTTGAGCCCTGGAGCTCAGAGCCATGTGTCTACAGCCACCCAGTCAGGACTCTTGAACAGGTTTGTCCCCGTCAACAAAACACTTTCTACAGAGCACATCCCTGTGGAGACAGAGCAGAATGCCTACACAAAGCTCCTTACACACATTCTCAATGCAGAGGAGTGTACCAGTCAACAGCACCATCTAAAAAGCCCCAGATTGCTGTGTGACCTTCAGCAGCCTACCAAATCACTCTGAGCTTCAGCTTTCCAGTCTATGAAATAAGTGTAATCAGCTCACATAAGAGTTACAAGCATCCAAAAGCAAAATAAAAATGGCACAAGTTGGCCCTTCACTGGGTGTCCAATAGGGGGTTTTCTCTGTGAAGAAGCCTAAATTATTTTTGATGGAGTCTTTTGGATTAAATGGGCATAGTGTGAGTACCTCTCGTGGTGGCTCTCAAGCAATAGGACAGCTGTCGTCGGTTTCCTCACAAAGTAAAAGATGTGACCCTGAGCTTAGCAGTTCTCATAAGGACCCCTGGATTAACCATGCTTGTGTTAGGGTTCCCTCTGTTCCCTGAGATACAGAAGCAAGTGGTGCAATACCAGCCTGGGACCCAGTGTCAGCCACACTGTTGTTTTGTCCATTTCGAGACCAGTAGTGACATCTGTTAGCCTGTTTAAATGCCATCTGGGGTTTGGGAGACTATACTGTAATGTCATGTTTAAATGTTTGACTGAGTTAATTCTAAGGGCACTTGTTCCCAGAGCTTTCCATCTGAAGTCCAAAGTTCTAATAAAGCCGTGACTGTATAGGAGCTTACTTGTAAATCAGGCTGCACGATGGCTCCTTCTCCCATATTAACATATGACAAAAAAGAGAGAGAGAGATGGTACGAGCTAAGCATGATAGCACGGGGTTGCAACCCCTGTTCCTCAGGAGCCTGAGGGAAGAGCGTGAATTTGAGGACAACCTCAAATAGTGTGACTTTATCTGAAAACAAAACAAAATAGATAACTACACAGCAAAAAAAAACAAAAACAAAAAAATCATACCGCATCCCTGATGCCTCTCAATGGCCCCTCTCTGTTCAACTCTGTCTGAGGAATAATGCAGACACCCTAAGCAGCAGCCCATACTTGAAACTTAGCTAAAGATGGACAGCCAGTTGCAGAGAGAGACAGCAAAGGCTTCATCCTTAAATGGATCTTTTTTGGGGGAGGGAGCAGGGTTTCTCTGTGTAGCTTTGGAGCCTGCCCTGGAACTCACTCTGTAGACCAGACTGGCCTTGAACTCACAGAGATTCGCCTGCCTATGCCTCCCGAGTGCTGGGATTAAAGGGGTGCACCACCACCCACCTAGCAATGTAGTGGATCTTAAAGAATGTGAGATCTGCCCCCCCCCCAAAAAAAGTAGATGTGTTCACATGTGTTCCAGGACAGGCTTCAAACTACAGAGAAATCCTGTTTCAAAAAAACAAAAAAGAAAAAAGAAAAAAAAAAGTGAGATCTGCCTGGGATCTGCAAGGTCAAAGTGAAACCGCCAGCACCCATGCCGTTGGCTGGGGTAACCCTCGCCTGCTCTGCTCTTAAGTGTAGGGTGGGGAGAAGGCCCTTGGGGCCCTTCACTCTCCACTCTTTCTCCAGGAGCCTCGACCACTACTGGTCCTCTTACCACCCTTCCCTTGCCCCAGTGACCTTGCTGGCATCCTGTTTATACTACCCCCAACATGGGCAAAGCCAGACACAGGACCTCAGCAGCATCGGGGGATGGATGAAACTGCCCTAGAACACCTGGCCTGGTCTCTGGGCCAGAGACTAGTCACAGTCTTGGTCAAGCCCAAATGAACTATTTCTGGCCAAAGCCTAGGCTACCAAAGTCCCTACAGATCCTGGCGCAGTCGGAGAAACAAAACTGTGCAAGCACAAAGGCTCCCTGAGCTGTCACTTTTAGATATAAATAACTAAGATGACACTGAGGGCAGGAGAGAGGGCTGTTATTAAGCGCTGTGCTATTCTTGCAGAGGACCAGGATTCCCAGGATCCACCTGACCCCTTACAACTGACCTTCACTTCAGTTCCTGTGAATCCAGCAACTTCTTCTGGCCTCTGTAGCATCAGGCACATGTATAAGCCATGCACATACACACATGCAGGCAAAATATTCGTGCATTTGAAATTAAAATAATTCTAAAAAGTATTAAGACCACAGCAGGGACATCACGGAAAGAAAAATCGTATGGACTGGAGCTGGAAGGACTATGAAGCCTAATGTGCTGCAGAGAACAAGCGTAAGATGGGAGTGAGCTCTAAGAAGGGGCCCAAACAGACTCAGACACACGCACGAAGGCCCTGATGTGCACACATAGGAGCTCTCCCTGACTCTGAAGGATGGAGCTGCCCTCTGGCCTGGTTCCCGGGGGCATAGCAGCAGCTATTCTCAGATCTACTCACTTGGCACAGTAGAGGAAGTGGTCCCTCCAGTCCACCAGGGAAGTCTGACCACCAAGCGTCTGGTTGGCTGTGAGCAGCAGGAGCGAGCGGTTGTTCTGGAAGTACTGAAGGAGGCTGTTGACACAGCAGTCCGAGAGGGTGGTGTTGTGCGGGTTGAGGGGGGCGTAGCAGATGTCCTGCAGGGAGATATTGCGCCCCGCCTCCGGGGACCACACCTGCAGGTGGCGAAGCCTCTCTTGGAGCTCCAGCAGCTCCAGCAGCAGGTCCAGGGACAGGATCCCGCTAAAGTTCTTGGGCCCTAGCAGCAGCGAGTCGTACTGGTAGCTGGACCTGTTTCGAGCTGTCACAAAAACCTGGTTGGTTCGGAAGAAGGGGCCGAAATGCTCGTCATGGAAAGCCTTCTCTTTCCGGGCTTCACTTTTGGGGGCTGACCACAGTTCCACGGGGTCTGTGGTGAGTTCTATATACATCAGGCCTACTGACAAGGCTATCACAACCACGAAGGACAGTGCCAAGACGGTGAGTGGCCACGAGGCCACTTTTGTGCCCCAGTTCTGGAAAAACCGGCCAAGGACAGTGTGAGGTGAGAATCTGCGCTTACGAGGGTGGTTGGGGGCTTCCTGGGGGCTTGGTGTCTTGCGCTTTTTCCTGTTGGAAGCCACTCGAAGATGCACAAGGACAGCAGTGAACAACACAAAGACCGCAGTGAAGATAATGATGAGAGCCAACCAGCCTGGCATTTTACCCATGTAGAAGGAAGGGGGCAGCGCCGGAGGCCGAGCAATGACGGGACAAGATGCTGCACAGTCCTGACAGGAACAGGCTGCCGAGTCTGCACCCTGGGACTCATTGCATGGTGCAATTTCCGCATTCAGAGGCTGTATCCCCTCTGCCAGGGCTTGACCAGGCTCCACAAGGTGGAAGGTGATGTCCAGCGGAGCCAGGCCATTCCCTGTGTCTCCCTGGAAGTTGAGCCAGCGCTGGGCATTGCAAAGGGCGGAGCCGTAGACCCCACACATGCTGCCCACGGCCAGCGAGGCAGCTGCAGGGATGCGCACCCGGCTACAGGACTCATAGGCTGCCTCAGCAAAGCTGCGCTGGTAAAAGGTTTCATAGGCCACCACAGCCGGAAGCTGTGAAGCGTTCTGCTCAACCACACGGGTGACATTGATAAAGAGGCTCTGGTTAGGGCTACAGGTGTTTTGGCAGTGTATGCTCACAAAATTGTCAGAGCAGGCGGGGCAGCGGGTGAGGAGGGCCTTGGTGATAGACATGCTGCTCTCTAATGCCAGCAACTGCTTGGTGGAGCAACAGGCAAAGGTGGTATTGGGGCCATTGTACAGGCGGGGACAGATGCGCTGGAGGAGGGCCAGGTGCTCCCCTGTGACCTGGCGGGCTGGGGTATTAGACAGGCAAGATACATTGGACAGTGACGTGAGGCCTCCAGACAGCTCTGGATTCTTCCCACACTCTTCATAAAAGGTGCAGTAGCCAGCCTGATGAATGGGTGTGTAGAGATCCCCCTGGGCCTGCAGAGAAGACCAATAGTATCCATTAGCCCTGAAGCTGGTTGGCCCAGACGGGTACCTTCTGGGCAGCGAGAAGCCAGAGAAAGAAGGATGCAGGTGGAGGCTGCTTGTTCGTTCCAGATGCCCAGACCCGAAACAATCACTCAGAAACTTTATTATTTGCAATATTGTTTGGTCAATAGCTTAAGCATATTGCTAGCTGGCTCTTATAGCTTTGGTTAACCCATTCCTATTCATCTGTGTGTCTCCAAGTGACTGTAGTTTACTGGCAAAGTTCCAGTGAGTCTGTCTCTGGCGGCGGCTCCATGGCTTCTACTTGATTCCTACTCTCTCCTTCTCTGTCTGCTTGGAACTCCCACCTTGCCCTCTTCTGCTAAGCCACTGGCCGAAACAGATTTCTTCATTAACCAATAAAAGCAACACATAGACAGAAGGACCTCCCACACCAGAAGGAGAGCACGCAAAGGGCTGGGAGAGCCACGGGGAGGCCCGTGTGGCATGGGCTGTGCTTAGGGTGCCAATGAAGGGAAACTCTCCCAATGGATAGAGACGGGTTAATAGGCAAAGGACTCATCTGATAGAGTGTGGCTTTAAAAGGCCATGCTTCAGAGGAGATGGGGAGGTGGAGGGACCCCTGTTGCTGTCAGTCTGAGTCTCTAGACTGTACTCCACACAGAAGCCAGGGCCACTTGTCTTTACAAGTCAGTATAAGACCCTCCTGTTCTGCATCCTGCATAACCAAATGCCAACCCCCACCTCTGAGAGCTAACTAGGATGGTAACAGGGCCCCTCCCAAACCCAGAATATTTCAGGGTATAGTCACCCAGGATCCACCTCCAGCACCCAACTCAGTCCCCACTTAACCACAGGCAAAGGCCCCATTCTTTTGCCTCTCTGACCCTCTGTCCCTTCAACCCCTTGACCTGGAGACTCCACCAGCCAGCACTTACTTCTGGGCATGAGAAACCTCCCCTAACCGTGTGACCCTGACTATCAGATACCCGACTTGCCTTGCCCTAATGGGAGACACTAGGGAGTAACCGTGAGCAATGGACTCACCGAATTCAGGAGTAGGGCCCAGAGCAGCCATCCTTTCAGGCCAGCTGCCATCCCCGAGTCAGGAAACAGAAGTAGGGCCGGGCCTCAGGGACAGCTGGGGAGGACTGAGCACTGGCTCCCAAAGTCATTAAGGCCGCCTCCTCCTCCTAGTGACAACATATGTCTGGCGGGATTAGGACCAATGGGGCTGTGAACATCTGGTTAATGATTCACGCACCCTGTCCCCTCCTATCAGATGGCTCCCTTCCATGTACCCCCTCTTAGGTGAACTTCCTAGTGAAGGTGCTGGAATCCCCACTCACTTCCTGGTGCAACCCAAGTCAAATGCTGCTCGAGCCAGCTGGACAAGAGATGCAGGGTTGTACTTCTGCTAGACCCGGCACTGGCCTGGTTTTGGCCTCGGGAGCTCAATGGAGCTGCAGAATGTCAACATTATCCTGGGCTTGGCCTCCAGCCTGCACTCTGACCCATCACCCCTTGAGAACAACATCAAGTATAGGCTCTGTCAACCTAGCAACTGATTAATTGACATTAGCACCCAGATAATAAAGGGACACTGAGGGTACAGTGATTCAGTGATGAAAGTCCCTTCAGGTTCTGACAGAGGACGGAAACCAGAGATTCATCTGATCCCTTTTCCCTTCCTCCCCACTCCTGCTTGGTTTCTTTCTTGGCCCTGGCCCTGGCCTAGTCCACTGAACAACTCTGGTTAGGTGATCTGGATGGCAAATCCCACTCAACCTGGGCCCATGGTTCTCCTTCTGCTTCTTTCCAGTAGGAATCTTCCAGTCTCTCCTTGGGCTGGTGCTATCACCAAGATGGGCCAGGACCTTGGCCCCTGTTGCCAAAGCTGAGCTGCTGATAACTGCAGCAAGGCACTCACGAGGCTCCTTGCCCAGACAGCTGCCTGCCGGGAGGGGCCTACTCCTCGTCATCCAGTGTCCCATGGACTCTGGTGGGCTCAGAGGGGAGCTGTCCAAGCTTAGGTAGGAACAGCAGAGGCTGAGACAGCACAGGACCTGCACCCAACACCTCCCAGTTCTCTTGTTACTTTCCGGATGGTATCTGCTCATCTCTGCTTTGCCTTAGGGTTCTCATTTGATCCCCCAGATGCAGACCCTGAGCCAAGGATCCTAGGACAAACGGTTTTACTTGGAAGGTGGCTTCCGGTAACAACAGTGGGGTGGGCAGGCAAAGAACCATGAGTTATGGGTAAACTGATCAAGATGGATTCAAGAGCAGCTCCTTTCCCAGATACCTCCAGGACACTCCAGGACACAGGGGGATCCTAGAGGATCCCCACACACAGTCCATAGGGGTGTGGCACTGTGTGCACCTGCAAGTCCTTGATTGAGGACACTCCTGGAAACCTGAACCTCGGTTCATGTGGCTGCTATTTTTCCACATCACAAACCCTCGAAACAAGAAGCTACTATTGGTAGGGACATGGTAGTGCAAGGCCTTTAATCCCAGCTCTCTGGAGGCAGAGGCAAGTGAATCTCTGTAAATTCAAAGTCAACCTGGTCTACAGAGTGAGTTGCTGCAGGACAACCAGGGCTACAGAGTAAGACCCTGTCTCAAAAAAAAAAAAAAAAAATGACTACAGTCACATGAAAACCCCAAGTGCCCAAGTGAGAGATGCTAAAGCCCTGCCTTCTATATGTCAGGTCTCATGAGGGTCGCTCAGCTGTGCCCAGCCCAGTACCAGACAGTCGGGGTTCAGATTTCTGGTCTGAGTTCATTTCTGAAGCCCAAAAAAGCATGAGAATCACACAGTCACACTAGGGACAGAAAGAAAGACCACCGCCCAGTCTTACTTCCATTACCTGTGTGTAGGCCCCTCTAGGCCTTGCCCAGGGCACACACGTTCATTCCTGAGCATGTGACGCAGGCATGCTTGCCTGCCACTTCCCCCTTGATTTTAACACTCCTTTGATCAGGAAGTGTATTTGGAATTGTGGTCCACAAAGTAGCGGGGGTTCTGCTCTTCCTGCACTGCAAGTTGGGCTGGTTGAATAAGAATGAGGTTGAGAGACAAACCACTTCCTGTTGCCTGCAAGCCAAGATGTAGGACACTCAGCAACTTCTCTAGTGCCATGTCTACCTGCACACCACCATGTCACACCACGGTTATAATGGCCTAAACCTCAGAAAACGTAAACCACCCCAATTAAATGCTTTTTCTTCATAAGAGTTGCTATGGTCATGGTGTCTCTTCACAGCAGTGGAGACCCTAAGACAGTGATTTGGAAATGTAAGTGTAAGCCAAATAAACCTTCCCCCACCCCCGCAAAAAAAAAAAAAAACAGAATGAGGTTAATCCTTTGTGTCTAAGATGTATCAATGTCTTTCTTCTTTCCCCTCCTCCTTCATTTTTTTTTTGGGGGGGGGGTATATCTCCTTAAAATGTGTTCCCAGAGCTGAGACTTATGATTTTCAGCATGTTTATGACTCTGAAGTACACAGTTCACGATTTCATTCCTCTAGCTAAATGAGGATTATCAGAAGATTATCAGATTCTGTTACTGGTATCCAGCTAAGGGTCAGTCCCAACCCTAAAACAACAGACGCTCGGTGACGCCAGCAGACACAGTGTCTCACCACACTCTCCCCTAATCATGTATGTTTACCAGGCTCCACTAACGTAGTAACTGTAGCATGATAAAAAGATACCTCGGGGTTTGCAGGGAAAGCCTGGTACCTAGGATGAACCTAGGACTTGTATGTGGTAAGCATGTGATAAACCACGGAACTACACGGCCAGTCAGGAGATCTCATTTTTAACTTATTTGTATTATTCATACAATTACCTATAGCTATGATGTAGTTTGTCAGCAGCCCAGAGCAGCGTTTCACACGACACAGGGTGGAGGGGGACAGCTTAGGATTGGGGCAAGACAGTCCTCTGGGACCAGGTCAATGTTTGCTTGGCAGGACCTGAGGAGGAGAAGAAAGTTCACTATCTGACTTCTCTGTACTCCAGGAGCACTCAGAGTTTGGGGTCCATGTGGAAAGGCAGGGAAGGTGACATTGCCAAGCTAATCACCTGTTGTGTTATATTTTACTCTTTGGACTTGGGCGGGGGGGGGGGGCACCACCAGCTCCCAAATAAATCACACAGAGGCTTGTTCTTAGTTATGAATGCTCCGTCTTAGCTTGTTTCCTGCCAGCTTTCCTTATCGTAAATTATTCTGACTACCATTTGCCTCTGGACTTTTATCTTTCCTACTTCTGTTTATCTTATTTCCCTTCTCACTCCGTGGCTGGCTGGGTGGTTGATCCCTGCCCTCCTCCCCTCCTCGTTCTCCGTTCTCTTGCTTGTCCTGTTTGTCAGCTCTGCCTGTCCTTGCTCCTGCCTAGCTGTAGACTGCTCATCTCTTTATTAGACCATCAGGGTTTTTTATATATTTTTATTGATATTTATTGAGCTCTACATTCTTCTCTGCTCCCCTCCCTGCCTCTCCCTTCCCCCTTCAGCCCCCCTCAAGGTCCCCATGCTCCCAATTTGCTCAGGAAATCTTGTCTTTTTCTACTTCCTATGTAGATTAGATCTATGTATGTCTCTCTTAGTGTCCCCATTGTTGTCTAAGTTCTCTGGGATTGTGGTTTGTAGGCTGGCTTTCTTTGCTTTATGTTTAAAAACCACCTATGAGTGAGTACATGTAATAATTGTCTTTCTGTGTCTGAGTTACCTCACTCAAAATGTTTTCTAGCTCCATCCATTTTCCTGCAAAATTCAAGATGTCGTTTTTTTTTTTTCTGCTGTGTAGTACTCATTGTGTAAATGTACCACATTTTCCTTATCCATTCTTTGGTCGAGGGGCATATAGGTAGTTTCCAGGTTCTGGCTATGACAAACAAAGCTGCTATGAACATAGTTGAGCACATGTCCTTGTGGTACGATTGAACATCCTTTGAATATATACCCAAAAGTGGTATTGCTGGGTCTTGAGGAAGGTTGTTTTCTAATTTTCTGAAAAATCGCCACACTGACATCCAAAGGGGTTGTACCAGCTTGCATTCCCACCAGCAATGCAGAAGTGTTCCCTTTTCCCCACAACCTCTCCAGCATAAATTGTCATCAGAGTTTTTGATTTTGGCCATTCTTACAGGTGTAAGATGGAATCTCAGAGTTGTTTTGATTTGCATTTCTCTGATGACTAAGGATGTTGAACATTTCCTTAAGTGTCTTTCAGCCATTTTAGATTCCTCCATTGAGAGTTCTCTGTTTAGATCTGTATTCAATTTTTTTATTGGATTATGTGTTTTTTTGGTGTCCAATTTCTTGAGTTCTTTGTATATTTTGGAGATCAGACCTCTGTCTGACATGGGGTTAGTGAATTCTTTTCCCATTCTGTAGGCTGTCATTTTGTCTTGTTGACCATGTTCTTTGCTTTACAGAAGCTTTTCAGTTTCAGGAGGACCCATTTATTAATTGTTTCTCTCAGTGTCTGTGCTGCTGGGGTTATATTTAGGAAGTGGTCTCCTGTGCCAATGGGTTCAAGTGTATTTCCCACTTTCTTTTCTATAAGGTTCAGTGTGGCTGGCTTTATGTTAAGGTCTTTGATCCATTTGGACTTGAGTTTTGTGCATGGTGATAGATATGGGTCAGTTTTCATTCTTCTACGTGTTGATATCCAGTTATGCCAGCACCACTTGTTAAATATGCTTTCCTTTTTCCATTCGATATTTTTTGCTTCTTTGTCAAAGATCAGGTGTTTGAAGATGTGTGGATTGATATCCAGGTCTTCTATTCTGTTCCTTTGGTTCTCCTATCTGTTCTTATGCCAGTACCAGGCTGTTTTCAGTACTGTAGCTCTGTAGTAGAGTTTGAAGTAAGGGATTGTGATGCCTCCAGAAGTTCTTTTATTGTACAGGATTGTTTTGGCTATCCTGGGTTTTTTCTTTTCCATATGAAGTTAAGTACCGTTCTTTCGAGGTCTTTGAAGAATTTTTCTGGGATTTTGATGGGCATTGCATTGAAGACCATCAGGTGTTTTAGACAGGCAAAGAATCACAGCTTCATAGAGTTAAACAAATGCAGCATAAAGAAAAGCTCACACACCTGAAAATAACATCCCCCAACAGTTACCCATGTTATCTTGGCTGACCATCGTGAATGTGAGTGGTCACAGTGCCAGCTTT